GAAGGGACGTACTTGACGATGGTACTGTACTGCACGAGCTGTTGTACATACATACAACAGCACGTACAGTTGTACGTATGTACAACAGCTCGTGCAGTACAGTACCATCGTACAGTACGTACTGTAGTGTGATGGTACTGTACAAGCTGTTGTACATACGTAAAACAGCACGTAGGACTGTACGAGCTGTTGTACATACATACAATACGTACAACAGCATGTACAACAGCTCGTACAGTTGTACATACGTACAACAGCTCGTACAGTACGTACTCTACGAGTGATGGTACTGTACTGTATGAGGTGTTGTACATACGTACAACTATACGAGCTGTTGTACATGCTGTTGTACGTATTGTATGTATGTACAACAGCTCGTACAGTCCTACGTGCTGTTTTACGTATGTACAACAGCTTGTACAGTACAGTACCATCACTCGTAGAGTACGTACTGTACGAGCTGTTGTACGTATGTACAACTGTACGAGCTGTTGTACATGCTGTTGTACGTATTGTATGTATGTACAACAGCTCGTACAGTCCTACGTGCTGTTTTACGTATGTACAACAGCTTGTACAGTACCATCACACTACAGTACGTACTGTACGATGGTACTGTACTGCACGAGCTGTTGTACATACATACAACAGCACGTACAACAGCACGTACAGTTGTACAGTACTGTACGAGTGATGGTACTGTACTGTACGAGCTGTTGTACGTACGTACAACTGTACGTGCTGTTGTACGTGCTGTTGTATGTATGTACAACAGCTCGTGCAGTACAGTACCATCACTCGTACAGTACGTACTGTACGAGTGATGGTACTGTACGAGCTGTACATATATACAACAGCGCACCGTCACAGGGCGTATTCACACTCACCTCAAACACATCAATCCGTAGCCGCGCGCAGTTTCCAAGAACCACGTTGTGATCACTGCAAATCCTGAACAAACATGATGCTAATTTATTGATTACTGTGAATCTCTAAATAAAAACGTCGACGGAGACCTTTAACAGCTGCAGTTAACCTTTAAAGGGTATCATAACTCTGTGAGTGATCCTCAGCTCTGCTGGTTCATCACAGAGGAGAAGCAGAAGAGTGATTCCTCCATGTCAACCACTTGATCAACTGTAGGAAAACATTACACCTGTAGAACAAGAAGGCAACAAAGAGAAGCACCAGTTATAGTTAAGAAAAAAAACTAAAACTCAGTTGCATATATAAGAAATGTTTTACATAAAATTACCCCAAGAACTTAAGTACATTTAAAGTTTTTGTTTGTTCTCTGTGGGTAAAAAGCTAGATATATGCATGTTACTTATTTAAAGACAACCCTTTTTTTTAACGATTGCGGCTGTCCCTCAATATCTGCTACTTGGTGCTGGTCACGCTAATCTGAACATGTCAAAATATCACCAAAGATAAGCAGGTCTTATATCTTTTGTAAAATGATAGACAGTTTTGAGGTGTTGCTAAAACTTACCTTAGGTTTTTGACTCGTAAATAACTTGCTTTTGTTTGTTTTTCTTCTGCAGAAACTCCTTTGACGTTCGACCTCTTCGGCTTTGGACGACTGGAGTCAAAAGGCGTTCAAACCCCACGCAGAGCAGCTGACCTGAAAAGTATTTTTAAAGAAGGAATTATTTTTGTACATTGTAAACATTAACATAATGTCTAATTTATAAGGTTTTTGTAATAAGTAGGTTGTAACCTTGATGGATTGTCTATTTTGTGTTTTCCACTAGACTCCAAAATATTTTAACTTCTTTTTTTGTTATTGTAAAAATGGCTTAGTTAACTTTTTGCAGCACATGTGTAAGACAAGATGTGCAAAAGTATGTATTTTTTTTATCAATTGCAAATAAAGGTATATTCTTTATAATTTAAAAAATATCTCAGTTTTTTTTAATAACCCTATTTCTTGTCTCTTTGATCTTAAATTTAATTTTATATCTGAAGCCACACAAGATATGGACTGGCTAATCTCACAGCTACGCCCTCGCACCTAGATATAACCTATAGCCTTACTATCAAGAAAAATGCTAAAAAATATAAAGTCCCAGAAACACATCAGTGTTTGTTTGCAAGTGCAAGTTTATAGCCCCAAACATGCTGCCAAGTAAATAAGTTGTTAACATATAGATATATCTATATAGATATATATATCTATATATATATATCTCTATGTATATAAAAGTTTTTTATATATTTCAAAAATGAGCCAAAACATGC